CTCTGAAATGTCGGCGGACAAGGCCATGTTCAGGTGCATAATGTAAGGATCCCTGTTTGACCACTATCATCTGGTCTTCTGGGCTGTGCCTCCCCGCGAAAGCTTTGGAGGTGGTGAAGCGCATGACGACCTTCCAAGAGAAGTTCCTGGCCAAGTACGGGGGCGCGGGCTATCCGAGTTAGATGAGTCGTGCTGCGGATGGACCAAAACCCCTTCGCACCAAATTGAAACCATAGGAAACCATGGTTTGTTGGTATTTGCGTTGGGGAATCGAAGCATTCCAGCATTTTTTCGGGTTTCTTAGGTGGTGCGAAATGGATTTTTCGGACGGGAACAGGTTCCCGGATCCATCTGGGCCCTGAGCCAAGCAGCCACTGAGTTGGTTCATCAAACTGGGAGCGCTTGGGAGCTACAAATACTGTGGATGGACGCGAAATCCATAAATCGCACCACCTAAGAACCCCTGGTTGCTGATGATTCCCCTGTAAATACCAACAATCAATGGTTTCAACCATGGTCTCATGCAGGATTTTGTCCATCCACAGGGAGCCCTGAGCTTTCGAGTGAGCTATTTTCTCACCCAGAAGCAGCGGCAAACCCTCTTTTCGTGGTTGGGAATGCTCCAATAGAAGTCGTTCCTAGAAGGATCTTCCGGATGCATCTGAGAAGAGATTGCAGTAGTCAGGCACAGCTCGCGACACCAGCGCTCGGCTTGAGCAGTCGGTCGCCGAATCCGTTCCGAGCTCTTACAGAACCGGTTGAGTTGGGTGTGTCGTCTTTTGAGGGTCGCTTTTTGGGTTGTTTCAAAGGAAAATGAACCTAAAGCCAACTTTTTGGCTTCCCCTTGTCAGTTCATTTTTCGTCATGGCCCGAAAAGGTGAGCCTTTTTATTTCTGGGTCCTTTGGGCAACTGAAGTTGTGGGTCCCCTATGAGACACACCCGTTTAGGCCACTAGCTTGGCTAGCTGCCGTGGGCGCAAAAAGGAGAGCAGCCGGGCTGAAGTGCAACAGAACGGCGAGTCTCGTAGGTGCTTGATTAGACTAGGTTCAAAGTGTTTCAGTGTATAATCGATTTGGGAGGGACACGAGGGAGTCTCTCTTTTTTTTCTCCTTTTCTTCTCTCTCTCTTTCTCTTTCTCTTTCTCTTTCTCTTTCTCTTTCTCTTTCTCTCTCCTCTCTCTCTCTCTCTCTCTCTCTCTCTCTCTCTCTCTCTCTCTCTCTCTCTCTCTCTCTCTCTCTCTCTCTCTCTCTCTCTCTCTCTCAATTTGCCCACACGAGCCAGGACTTTCTAGTTTACTCAGTGTACAGTTGACCATGGCACACAAGGTCCCTCCGCTTCTTTGCATGGGCCACATGAATGAAGCATTATCGATCTTTTTAATTCCAAAATGCGTTTTCAGAATGGTGTCATATTGGAAGAGGATGCGCAGCTTGGGCCCATTGCCCGATGCGCGGGACTGCCCTTGGGTCATTTGTGATTGGTGCTATCGGAGGCTTTTTGGTAGGGTTTCATTCCATTTACCAGGGAAACCCATCTATGTTCCACAAGGTCGCCCATGGATCCAACAGTTTGGGTGACTTTGAGAAACTCAAGAAAAAAAGCAGCAGCAACTGGGTAATTACAGTAGCAGATGTTCCCATTATTTTTGGGGTACATTTTGTTTTGATCACTCTCGCCACACTTCGGCCTGGATATTTTTAATCTTTATGCCCGCCTGAGGGGCCTGGGCCCCGAACAGCCAGCACTTATCACATCGAGTTTAGGACTCCGGCCGCAGAGCTGTCGAGTTGATTGAGAAAAAAAGGTTCGCCACCTGCGGGGAACGTGTGGATGCATGTGGATGAAACTCGAAACTTACCAATCAGAGCGAAAGGCGTGGCATGTGTTTCCGTGTGTGTGTGTGTGTGGAGTTTGGTGCTGGATCAAGAAAACCGCTCCGTTTCCTTCGCCTTTTTGTGTGTGCGTGTGTGTGTGTGGCCTGTGTGGCTTCCCGTTAGCGGCTTCTGGATGTCAAGTGCTAGACTTGGCTCCCAACCACCTTCCCATTCACCCCTTGGTGGGAAGTTGTTGACCTGCTCAACAGAATCGCCCAAACTAAATCGATGAGCTGCCAGCCTTTGAGATGGAGCCTTGAGGAGGGTTCAGAAGGGTTCAGCGGGCTGTTGGGGTACCTAAAATAATCCTTTTGACCCTGATAGTTCGGGGCACATTTCTTTCAGTTGGCTTGAGTTGATTGTCAGTCGACACTTAGTGTGGACGTTGAATGGTGCCTCTGTTGGCGATGATCACGTGTACCACGAAAACGAGTCAGCGGCCTCTCGGTCGAAGGTGCGCTGTTATGCATCAAGGATCATCTCCCCTTCATCAATGAGTGCGTAGAGGATCTGGTACTCTGGGGGTTGATTCCTCATTTTCAGCCATCGTTCTTTTCAACAACCAGCCATTTCCCCAGGGTGTTTGGTGGTTTTCTAGCTAGCAAGAATGATCCCTGGAAAGAATGGAAATGGAAGTTACCCCTAGAGGTACCACCAGTTCGCCGGCTTGCCTAAAACAAGGAGTTCAGGCGGCCAACTCGGCAAACGCCCGCGGCGAAACAACTGATGCCAGGCTCAGAAGGCCAGACCCCAATTTCCTGTTTCAGCTTGAAAGAACAGGTCCCTATGTCACAGACAAGAAGTACACCTCTAGGTCGCCCCCAAAGAAGGGAGGGAGGGGGGTATGTTTGAGCTGGGCAAGAACCCAATAACAAGGTTATCCCTCCCTAGGGGGACTTAGAAGTGGGTTATTACCTAGGCCAGCGAGTTACGAACTTGGCCGAGCAACCAAGTAGGAGCTGACTTGGATTGCACGGCCCAGTGTTTTTCTCACCTCAAGGATTATCCAAACCGAACCCATTTGCAACATCTCTCGCGCATTCGTATCTTCATGAAGCGATCATATATGGGCTCCTCTTTTTCGATCTTGGAACCGACACGGGCCTCACCTCGCAGTTTCCTTTTGGTTTCTCTAAGCCAACCTGGAGTCTCCTTCTGACCCTTTAATGGATCAATGCCCCCATTTTGGCTAATGACGTATCCCATTTTTTATACGGCTCAGATCCGGAGACTCCAGGTAATTACATCTTCCTCTTTTTGTTTGTTCCTTTCTGCCGGGCGCAAACGAAAAAAGCATTTGTAGACCGACCCTGGACCGTCCGCTTTCCGGTCTTTTGGCCGCGGGCCCCGAAGTAAGCGAAGGGCTTCTTCCACTCCCCTCGCTCTCAGCGCCTCGCTCTCTCAGGTTCTTGGCGCCCGAGGACTTCGCATGGATCTCAGGCCGATTCGATCGCGGCTTCCGCGGAAGTCGAAGTCGAGGTGGGTGGGTTTCGGGTTTCGGATCAGGCTGCTCGGTTCAGTGGCACCCATGAGATTTTTCCCCTTTTGTTCTTTTTTTCCCCAGGGTCACTGAACAACTGAGACTGTGGATGGTTGCGACATGTTGCGACATCCGGACATCACGCCCAAGAAACCCTGGCTTTTATCAAAGTGGCGCGAACGAATTTCGTAACCATCTACCTTAGGTTATCTTTTGATAAGTTTCGATTAGTTGGAAATAGATGGATTCTGGTTTAGATTCCCTTTTGGGAGACCTAAGGTTTTTGACATCCCTTGTTTCAGGTTGACATATTGCCAACAAATCCAGATAGTTTTTCCAGAGGAAAGCAGAAAAAGGGTACCTGAACAGCTTCGTTGCGAGAAACAACGGCAAGCGGCAGGAGCCACAATCAAAGCCTCTTCGGATATTTTGTTAATGTTGAAACGCATGTGGAAACATGAACTGTGTTGGCAATGCTTGACCATAATGGCGCATGCCATTTTGGCTCAAGCTTTGCCCTGGGTTCTTTGAACCCAATTTGTGTGAAAAATAATAATAACCCCGAACTAACTCCGATCTAGCAATGGCTTCCTCGGCAACCTCGGCAACCTCCTTCGAGCTGATTGAGGACCAGAAGCTCACCGCGGAGGAGGTGGAAATGGCCAGCCAGGAGGCCCAGGAAATTCGCACACGCGAGGCGGCAGTGGCGGCCGGCCTGGTGTTGGACGAGCCCGAGGCCCCCCCGTCGGCTTCGGCTACCGACGTGATGAACGACCTCTCCAGTGCACTGGAGCGTCTCCGTGTGGCCTTCTCCACACCGACTTCCGGCCTGGGTGCCCCTGGCCCCGCCGAGGAGGAGGACAAGGACATGGAAGATGCGGACGCCACGGAGCGGGCTACTCCACCAACGAAGAGGCTGAAGGGTTTCGTGGCGGCTTCCCAGAAGACCACGGCTCAGGTGAACAAACCGGTCTCCCTTGTGCCGGTGGAGGGCCGTCCCGGCTACTTCAAGTTGGTGGACCTCCCAGACCTCTTCCCGGTCCTTCCGGCATCGGCGGCCACGTTGCTGCGGGACGTCACGGTGGAGGAGGCGGTCTCCCTGTTCCACAAGTTTGTCGGGAAGAATCTCACGGAGGACTTGGTGATTCGCATCCTGGAGGCCTATGTTCCGATGAAGATCCAGATCCGGCAGGAGGAGGTCTGGGCCTCACAGTTCCAGAGGAACAAGGCGTGCATTGGCACCCAGCGGATGCACAGACTCGATGCCGGCCACTCAGACTACAAATTCATGTGCAAGGCATGCGGCACGGGGTGGCCGGAGGCAGCCAAGCAATGCTGGGTCTGCCCGGGCAAGGAGTTCGTCCCCTTCCAGGCACCCTCGGCTACCTACGAGGCGGACGGCGTCAAGTACAACCTGCTCATTGTGGAGGGCAAGCCGACCTGGATCCAGCAGCGGGAAGGGGGAAGCCTGGGTGCCGCTGGCCCCGGTGGTACCCGGGCACAGGCAGACCGCAACCTGGTGGACGGCACGGTCCTGGGGAGAGCTCCTGGACACGGCAGAGGAGATTACCATGGCAGACGTGGTCCCGCTCAACAGGCGGGTGGACATCCGGCAGGAGATCCTGTCCATGGAGGCGGACGATGAGGCGTTGAAGGTCCGGGAGCACCAGGAGGTCAAGGTCAAAGTGCAGCGGTCCCTGAAGGAGGCGGAGGCTCAGAGCTTCCAGCTCTACCACCCCCAGGTGGACCAGGCGATCCGGAAGAAGGAGGAGCTGCATAAGGCCTTGAGGGAGCACCGGGAACCGACCCCGGAGGAGTCCTCGGCCAGGCGGCGGCACAAGGAGTTGGTCACGGACGAGATGCTGGACAATGAGATGGCTATCCTGGCGCCTCTCCAGGAGGGCATGCAGGCCCTGCCGTCAGAGGAGGTGGCCAATGAGGGAGCCCGGGCCCTCAGGAAGGTCAACCTGGAGCGATTCCTGGCCAAGCTGCGAGATCAGTACCTGGAGGGGAAGGGCGTTGACGCCAGCCAGGCACTGGCTGAGGCGATGGGCTCCATCCAGGAGGCTCAGGAGGCGAACAAGCGCACCCAGGACACCAACCAGGCATGGATGCTTAACCACACCCTCAAGCCCTTGGAAGTGTCGGCGTGGCCTCAGGCAGGCACTGGAGAGGGGGCTGTTCTGCCCCCTGGAGCTGGATGACCCCGAGGACATCCCCAACGTGGGTGACATCAAGGAGAAGTATGTCCCCCACATCAGGAGGCTCAGAGGCGCAGAACCCATGGAACCAGGAGGCGCTGCTGGAGGAGATGCCCGATCTGGCGGCACCGGCCCCCCCCAAGGGTGCCACTGGCCCCGGGGGGGACCAGTCAATGCCACAGCAGGACCTGAACTCGGAGGAGGGCAAGCTGTCCCTGCTCCTCTGGGCGATGAAGAGGCACCAAGGCGAGCTACGGATGTTTGGGGGGATCTGGAAGAAGCACTCAAGCGGTGAGATCCCCAAGGGCGCGGACCAGCAATTCAAGCTCACTCCAGAGGAGCTTCTGGCCCTGGAACGCAGGACCCACCCACTCACGTGCGAGCAGGACCACATCGACCCTGTCATCTACACGGCCTTGGAGATCCGAGCGCAGGTGAACCGGGGCGAGCGCCCGGCGCCGGAGCAGGTGGTGGGGATCTTCTGGGCGAAGGGCGATGGAGTGTTTTGGACAAGGCAGACGAGAACGTGGGACCTGCCGAGCCTGACGGGGGTGTACGCCCACAGGTTCACCTTCAAGTACATCTACTCGGCCTGGACCACCTTCCCGCTGATCGTGAAGACGCAGCGCCGGGGCCGCAATGCGGAGGGCTCGGCCTCGGACAAGTGGATGGGCAACATCCTCCAGATGAGGAAGGAGGCGGTCCCCTTCCTGGAGAGCCTGGGAATCCCCAAGCCGCGCAGCAAGGCGGAATGGAGCTACATCTTCAAGGAGATGGGGACGTTTCTGGCGGCCAAGAATTTCATCGTTAACTGCCCGTTGCCGGTGATGGAGATCCCAGTGGCCCCCGTCCACGACAGCAAGGAGGCGCTGCGTTTCAGGGCGGTCTGCGACGAGCGAATCACCCTTCCGCTGTCATCGTTGAGGGCTTTCGACTCGGTGTACACCAAGCTGGTGTCGGGCCTGAGTAAGTCCTCCATGGTGGAGGTCAAGGTCAACTGGTGTACGACCGGTTGGGCTACTCCCAGGACCTTATCAGGCAGCTGGGTTGCTCCCCCCCCTTGGGTGCCTCTGGCCCCGGGGGAGGAGCGGCCAAGGAATCGGACCCCAAGGCCAAGATTCTGGGGGGGGCGGACACCACGCTCCGCGCCGGACCAGGGCACCAGGCGGTACCCTCCTATCACCACGTCCACGGTCACGGCGGTCGCGGGCCGGAAGTACATCAACAAGCACTTCCCGAAGGAGACGAAGCACGTGTTTTGAGGGTGAGCCGCGGGGGGACCAGGCTGCTCCAGATCACGGGGTGGCACAAGGACAAGGCCACATGCCTGCAGCTGGTGATGGACGAGCCCCCGGAGCAGCTATATAATCAGTGGATCCGGGACAGGATGGAGTTCCACAAGCGGGTGGAGCCGACAGAGGACGAGCGGCTAGTCCTTGGCGATGCGAGCACCCCGCGCATGCGCTTCAGCTCCTCGAATGGCCTGGGGGATGTCTCCACTGCCTTGTGGTCGGTCATCTTGAGCAACCCGGAGAAGTCAGGGCTGGCGGCCATCCACTCGGTGGCTAAGGAGGCGATCTTGAAGGGTGAGAGCCGCTAGGTCGTGTCTCACAGCCTTTTTGGATGGGGAGTCGTGAGATCTCTTCCCACCGGGACTTGGGTGCCTCTGGCCCCGTCTCGGGTGGGGGGAGGAGTAAGGGTGCCCCCTGTTGGGTTCTTCTTTCACCTGACTTTCCCCCCCTGTTCAACACGTCACGACTGCCGGTTTGCCTCGATCTGGAGGCTGCACGCGCCCCAAGGACGGGCCATATCGGCCACAGTTTGGAGAAAGTGGCTGCGGCTGACTCTGGGTTCCCTGAGGTCCCCTTGGGGGTTTTGGGGAATCCCCCGCCGGGTTGGTCTTCCCCCCTCCGTGGTCCTTTTTGGGGATTTCCGGGGGTTGACTTTTGGGTCCTGTTGGGCTGCATGTGGCCTGCCTGCCCCATTTGCACTCGGCATCCTGTGGGGTTGGAACATGCGTGCAGTGTGCCGCGGTTGGGTCCCGGCCGTTCAATAGGAGGCTCGAACCCCCCCATTTTCATCATGGCTAGGGTCTCTGCAAAGTTTCTTTTGCGCCCGCCTTACACTCGTCTTTGGGACCGCATTCCAAGGGTCCTGTGGGACACGTTGGCGGATGAGTCCTTCTCCCCGAGACAGACGGACGGGGAGCTGCTGGTTCTGATGTGCCTGCGCCATGGCACGGCAGAGGAAGGGAGGCAGCTGGGCGGGGAGCCGGCCATCCGCTTCGCTCAGATCCTGGAACTCTCGGGCATTCCGGTGGGCCAAGATGACCAAGTGGTACCAACGGACTACTTCAACGGCCTGGTGGCGTCGGCGGCGGGCAGGCTTCCCCAGCCTTTGTCCGCGGCGGACCTGGCCGACCTTTGGGATAGCCTATGGTTCCTCCTCATGGCGGCTACGGATGGCAAGCCGAGCGAGAATTTTTCCCCGCTGGAGAATGAATGGGACCGCCAGGACCAACTGAGGTGGTTCTTGCGAGATGACCCGCCCCCACTCCAACAGCCGGAGCTTCTGAAGTGGAGGCACTGGCGGCCCGGGAAGATCAGGGAAATGGAGCCCACGACCCAGAGAGCGCTGGAACTCCATATGCGCGGGAAATGGGCGGAACGGCTCCTTGCCCACTTCGCCCCCTTTGCGGAGCACATTGCATACATGCAGGACATCCTGGGGGAGGACTTCCGCAAGGAGGCATTGGACCT